CTCCCTGCTGGCAAGTGGACATCCCCTGAGGGCTGCTGGACTGCCGGAGGGATGTCTTATTGCCATCTTACGCCCATCCCCCCAGGGGGTGGGCCGAAGCCAGCAGGTGGTCATCCCTGAGGGGTCCTAGACTGCGAGAAGGCACAGGTTGGGCTGAGGGACCCACTCCCCCCCCTCCCGAGTGTGCACAGGCATTTGTGCACCGGGCCTCTAGTCTGTATATATAAAAGGCTAATATGCAAAGTGTCCTCGTGGGAGTTCATCAGGAGACTAGGAGTTCTATCACTCTCTATGACATGCACTGACCACCAGGGGGTGGCAAGGAAGGAAGGAAGGAAGGAAGGAAGGAAGAAAGGAAGGAAGGAAGCAGGCAGCCAGCAGCTGGGGAAAGGATGCCCCAGTCAGCAGCCGGCAGCCAGGGAAGGGAGGCCCCGGCTGGCAGCTGGAAGGCCCTGATTGGCCCTGATTGCTGGCCAGGCCTAGGGACCACACCATGCACTAATTTCATGTACTGGGTCTCTAGTACCTAAAGAAAAACCATCCAGACTGAAGTAGAACAGAAGCTATGGGATGGGAGGCCTCCAGGAAAAAGAAAAAAGATTATTTATGTGCTTGTAAGACCTTTCGGAAGTTGACAGAACTGCTGGTGTCTTTGAGTAAAAAAGAAAAAAAGAAGTGATGGCTATATAGAAAACCAAAAGATTGGGGATGGGGGGAGAAATAATTATATGATTAAAAGTCAACCAAGAAAGAAACAGTCAACTACTTGATTCATTAGACAATGTTAATTTATTTAACCCGTTTATTCTATTTATTCGGTCAATATAAACATGGACACTGAACTACCAAATAATTCAAACACTGGAAAGAGAATGGAAGGAAGGTGGTGTGAAGGGGGCGGGGGGGTTGTTAATTACTGCTCTTTTACCTTTTAGTTTTGTAATCTGGACAAGTTACTTAACCTTTCCAAATCTCAGTCTACTCTAGATAATACATCTAAAATACATGGACAGTATCTTATATATAAAAGGTAATATCATGTAGCCCAT